AAAAATAAATAAACGTTGAAAAAAAAAAAATTAAAAAAAAAAAGATAAAAAAAACAACCCTTCTCTATAAAAGGAGTAAATTGTTTTTATTTACTTCCATTTTATGAAGAGTAGTTATAATATTCCACTTTTTCAAACCACTGACTGCCTTGTGCCCTTTGTAAATGCTGGTGAGGGCTTCTTTCGTGAACACAGTGATTTTGACTCAGAGCGAGACAATTGGAATTTCTTGCAAATCCTTTAAGATGCTGAGGCTCACAGATATCACACAAGTTATTTAAGACTGTGCTCATGCTTAGAAGTGGAGTGAGAATAAGAGCCCAGATTTCAAAGCTTTATCTAACAATCCTCAGTGTCTCTTTCCTAGGATGAGCGATAGGCCTCATCTTCAAAACAAAGCAAAACAAAGCAAAGCAAAACAAAACAAATTTGAAATTATGTACACTTTGAAATACTGTGGCGGTTAAAAAAAAGAGGTGAAAAAAAGATTTAAAAAAAAGAGAAAAAACAGAAAGAGGTGAATTTGTATGTGGAACAGCACGTGGATTAACATGAAAAAGCTCTACAATGTATTGTTAAAATGAAAAGAGAAAGATGAGAACATTAATGGTAAGTTTGCTATCATTTGTTTCTAAAAAGAGGAAGAACAAATGTACGTGTACATTGCATACATGTCAGCATATATATGTACGTAGGGGGTACAGTCACATCCGTAATCAGAACATGCTTGCGTATATACAGACAATGCCTGGAAAGACACCAAAGAAACTGGAAACGACTATGGTCTCTGGAAGGAGAACTAGGGGAGAGAAGAGAGGCGAAGTTTTCACTAGAGACACTTTGTTACCTGAGGAATTTTTTTTTACGTGAGTAAGTACTACATATCCAAAAAATTTACCAAGATGCTAACAAATGATATTTCCTCTTAATCATTTAACAAGGAGTCAATATTCTTTTTTTTTTTAATGTTGATTTATTTTTACAGTTGAGACAGAGAGAGACAGAGCATGAACGGGGGAGGGGCAGAGAGAGAGAAACACAAGTCGGGCTTGGCTCCAGGCTCCTGAAGCCATCAGCCCAAACCCGACAGCGGAGGCTTTCTGAACTTTCTCCTGCCAGGTGAGATGGTGACCTGTGAAGCTGAGGGCGCTCAACCGACTGAGCCACCCAGGCGCCCAAGGTGTCAATATTCTGAAACAGAATCCACTACAGAACTCCTGTGAATCAGTTTCCCCAGTTTGTTTTAGACTAGATTCTTTAAAGATGAAAGAAAATGACAGGGGGGAAGGATTACCCACTTACATAAGGTTAAAAAAAATTAGTTAAGCAAGTTACAAAGGGGTGTGCTATTCTAATTCCCCCTTTGGTGAGCCATGGTGTGGCACTGTACATGGTTTGAGATTTCAAATGTCACAAGGACTATTAAACTAAGAGCTACTCTCATTACATAATCTTTATCTATATCAACTTGACCTTATTGTTTGTTTGCATTTTCTTCTTAGAAAGTCATGGATGCTCATTATGGAAACTCCAGAAAGTATAAGTATAAAGAGGAACAAAAATGAATTACACAGAAACTTGCCAACCAGAGACCACTATTAATTAATATTTTGACACTTTCCTTCTATTCTTTTTAACGTAGTTGATATTATTCCATATAGCTTGTTTTGTATCCTTGACATTTTTCCTCCTTAATATTACATCAAAGTTATTTCTCCTGTTATGAAAACTCTTGGTAAACACAACTTACAATATTCCACATATTCTGAAATGACTGTTCCTTTTTTAAAAAAAAAATTAAATGTTTATTTATTTTTGAGAGAGAGAGAGCGAGCGAGCGTGCGCGCATGAGTGGGGGAGGGGCAAAAAGGAGACACAGAACCTGAAGCAGGCTCCAGGCTCTGAGCTGTCAGCACAGAGCCTGATGTGGGGCTCAATCCCATGAACCATGAGATGATGACCTGAGCTAAAAAGTCAGATGCTCAACCAACTGAACCACCCAGGTGCCCCGATGATTGTTCTTTTAATCTGCTATTGTGGCAAATTATCCTGACTGGGTTTTTCTAATGTTAAACTAACCTTGAATTCTTTGAATAAACCCAACGTGGGAATGCTATATTATTCCCTTAATACTGAATTCAGTTTAATATTGTTTAGGATATTTGCATCTATTTAAATTTTCTGTGTTGTATGGTCTTATTAGGGTTTGGTAACAAGACTGAGACAGTTTCTTAAACTGAATCAGAGAGTGTCACTTCTTTTTCTTTTCTTTGGAATAGTTGATGTAAGACGGGAGTTATTTCTTCCTGAAGTATCTGGCAGAACTAGCTAGCAAAATCACCCAGATGTGAGTTTTCTTTGTGGACAGATTTTTAATCGTGAACTCAATTTTCAAAATAGTTACGGGAATATTCCAGTTTTCTATTTCTTCTTCTGTCAATGTTGGTAAGCTGTCTTTTTTTTTTTTTCCTTTTTCTTTTTAGGGATTTGTCATTTCATATACATTTTCAAAATTTTTGGTATGGAGGTTTTCAAACTAATTTCATATTATCTGTTAATAACTGCAGGATCTGTAGTTATTAAACAGATAATAAACCTCCTTTTCATTTTTATTACTATTTGTTTCTGTTATTTCTTGTGTTTGATCCATTTTATCAGAGGTTTAGTAATTTATTAGTGTTTTCTAAGAACTTTGATTTTGATGTCCCTAAATATTCTATTTCATTAATTTATGCTCTTTATTGCTTCTTTCTTTTTATTTTCTTTATGTTTCTTTATTTGGTTTCTTTTCTAACTTCTTGAGCTGAATGCTTAGCTTATTGCTTCTTGGAGTTCCTTCTTTTGTAATATATGAATTTGAAGGTGGTAAAATTTCCTTTAAATATTGTAGTCCTCAAATTCAGATGATGTCCGGACAAAACTGTTCCTAGGTATTGATCTCCCTTCTTTTGGTTCAATCTTCTTCCAGATATAGACCATTAATTATTTTATTTCTCATGCTTTCTGATGACTTTAGGGTGAGGATTTATGTATTTTAATCAGCTTTTTTAAAAAAATCAGCTTTTTAAATTACCTTCAGTGGGGGAATTTGTCCAAGCTACTTAGTCTGCCTTTACCAAAAGGTGATGCCTGCACAATTTTCCAATATAGATATACCTTATTTGACTACTCTTCTAGTGTTAGACATCATAAACATCTAACAACTATCATACACATAAATATTTTTTGCATTTTAGATTTTTTCTCCTTAAGATAGATTCCCAAAAGCAGAAATGCCAGGGAGGGGGTACCTGGGTGGCTCAGTTGGTTGGGCATCCGACTTTGGCTCAGGTCATGATCTTATGGTTTGTGGGTTCGGACCCTGCGTCAGGCTCTGTGTGCTGACGGCTCAGAGCCTGGAGCCTGCTTTGGATTCTGTGTCTCCCTCTCTCTCTGCCCCTCCCCTGCTTGTGTCCTGTCTCTCAAAAATACATGAATGTTAAAAAAAAAAATTAAAAAGAGAAAAAAAAAAAGACCACGCCGGGAAAACATCTTCAGGTCTCTTGATACTTTCAGTTACATTAACTTACCTTAACTTAGGTATTTGAATATGCCTATTTCTCCCTAGCAATAAGGACTCTTTCGGAAACACCTAGCTTATTTAATTGGTGAAAAGAGTTACATTGTTGCTTTAAAATGTTTCTATCTTAGATTGTTGACAGGGATAAACATTTTTTTTTTTTTACTACTTATTTGAATTTTTGGAGCATTTGGGAATCCAATTAATTTTTATTTCTTTGCATATTTATATAAGATACTTACAACCGGCGGCAGTCTGTGGGGATACCAACCTTCTGCCTTTGAGAATTTGTTGCTAAGGGCAAGATCGTGTTTCACTATTCTGGTGAAATTTGTGCATGCCTCTCCAGCAGAGGCTGCCAGGGCCCCTGGTCAACGAGTAGTAGGCTGGTCTTGCTTAGAGGGCCAGTGGCATGACTAAAAACTGACATTCATTCATTCATTGATTCATTCATTCTTTATTTACTAAGTTCCACAGTATCGGCCTAGAGTGAATGACGAACAAGTATTTGCTGAAATAATGAGGGACAACCGGGTATGAGCCAAAGATGTGCTCACAGACTTGACAATCTAGTGGGGGAGATAATCAAACAATCATTGAGAAAAATATGTAATTATAAACAGAAAAATATATATATAATGAAGAAAAAGTAGTATGCTCTGAGACAGAACCTAACAGGGCACCCAAATGAGGAACGGATTAGGTTTAGGTGACAGGGGACAGGGAGATCACAGGTGGCTTTTCTGAAGATGTGACATTTGAACAGAGACAAAGGGTGAGAAACAGTTAACTGGAGTGGGGGAAAGTGTGTTCCTCACAGAAGAAACAGCCTCTGTAAATGCCCCAAAGCAGGAATAACTGCAGAGAATTGGCTGCCATAATCTCAGTTTTCATGTCACCTGCCCCGTAAGTTGGCGGGAGTACAGAGGAGGGAATGGCAAAGATTCACAACTTGGAAACTAAAGAAAAAAATGAAAGAAATTAACCGAAGTTTTAAAAGGGTTTGCAGCATAGCTCTGGGAAACACTACATTGCCTCCTACTAAGAAATATGCAAACAGAATTTTCTAAAACTAGAACTCTGAACAGTGATACTGACAGGGGCCAGTTGTTTTATGTACAAAATAGTCTTTCCTCAGAAAAGGCCTCATATTTATTTCTAAGCTGCTTCCAGGGCTGCTCCTAACTTAGGAAGATACAGTTCAACAGAAAAATATTAATCACAGAGTGCTAAACAGGATGCAGACTTTTTACCAAAATGCATAAAATCAATCATTTCATTTTGGGACACACTTTTGGCACGGAGGCTGAGCTCTGCCTTGGGAAAAAAAGTCATCTCAAAGCTGCCAAGGGAAGCCAGACCACTGAGTGTTCCCAAACACAGGACTCCTAAGCATGTTTGCAACGGACAAAGCGGGCATGGAGCGAGGAGGCCAACGTACTGTTCTCGCGGACCAGGCAGAACTCCCATGCGCTCTGGCTCTCCAAAGTGCTTTCCAGGTCCACGGCGACATTGGGCTCACTCTGCTTCTCCAGGCGGTACTGAGGGCCTGGAAGATCAAAGGGGCAGGAGGAGGGGAGGAAGTCTGAAACAGTGAATTTAATATTGAAAAAAACAAAACAAAACACCCAAATACTGGCAAAAAGCTGATTTAAGCATTAGGAAAATGCTGGTCAGTCTGAGGGCTCTAGCTATCCAAGAAGGAAGAGTTTGGGTTTTGTTTTTTTTTCCCCCCCCACAAGGTTCCACACACTTGTTTGTTCTATTATCAGCTCCGTTTTTGCTCGGCTCCCCCAGAAAGGCAGATGGCTTTTGAGTCAGACTGACCTGGAATCACAACAGGGTTACCTGGTTTCTCAGGTAGGAGGCAGGTAACCTACCCTCTCGGAGCCTCTGTTCCCTAATATGTGATGGGGGAAATGCTTATACCTTAAAGATTACTGTGACGATTACAGATGATTCAGGAAAAATACTTAGTAATGCACCTGCCTCATAGGAAGCACTCCTACAGAAGTACTTATTAATAATCACTATATAATAATGCATAATCAATTATAAGCAGGGATAAAGTATGTGTAGAATTCTAATATGATGACAGCCCCAAAATTCAAAAAAATTTTAAAAAGCAGGTGAGGTTAAAAAAATTCTCTGCTTTCAGGGTTACAGTGATAGACAGTGGCTGCTGATTCATGTTTTTGTTGAAACATTCATGAAAACACAAAGACACAGGTTCAATAATACTGAAAACCAGGAATACTAGCCATCCTGTGTCACACAGGGGGTTCTGGCAGATCTTAATAAAACACTGGGCATTTTATACATTTATTCATGTATTTCTTTGTCAAGCCAAATGACAATCTTGTTCTTCTCAGATAACACCTAACGGGTCCAATGATCAGATTCAAAAGACTACTCCTGTTGTTAATGGTTATTGAAAAGATTAGAGGTGTAAGAAACTGTCTTCTTATTTTGACTCTGAAAGGCATGTTTGGTCAGACAGAGGAGGGCTGTAAGAGATCTGAGGAAAGCATCAGAGGCCTTCCAGGGCTCCCGGGCAGAACACATATTTTTAGATATGTTCTTCAGCTGTTGTCAGCTTGCTGTTATTCACACCCAGTACTTCTCCCTCAGCAATCGAAGGCATTTCGCTCACCTCCTCCGTGTCATTCTCCTCGCCTATGTTCTGTGTTCACTGAGAGCACTGCAGTTTCATGGGACAGTCCCTCTTTCCTCTAATTGGTATTTCATCAGCAATTCTCAGAGTTATTACACACGTTCAGTCTTTTTTACACTACAGATAGCTCTTAAACTTTTACTAAGTAAACAATGCTCAAAATACTTATACAACTGTTTATGCAAATACATGCTCAGAAGCCTACATGATTCCTATAAACTCTAATATGCTACATTCAGGTCAACATTATACACCAGTTATATTTTCATTTCAAAAAGATTTACCAAATAAAGGTATGGAAACACAGGTAATTCCTAGTATTCAATACCTGTCACTTGCCACTGATATCTGTCAATTACCAGGCATGTTTGCTGTTGATTCCTGATGTCACTGGTGGAAGTAATCACAGAAAAATCATGCCCAGCTGAACTTTCAGAAAACTTAGTTGGTGAGAAGATTCCCATCCACCCTCTCCTTTCCCCTCCCTAACACCTACCTTTCATAGCTGTGGGCCTTTCAGCCCACTAGGAAGGGAGTCACTGCTGAACCTAGACAGCTACTTTCTAAGACGCTGGCCTGTCAAACAATCTTGGGCGGCCCCACCCCCGGTACCTCCCAGCAACACAATGGGCAAGACACTGACATCCACCTCTATGGATTTACAGTGAAATCAGGTACACAGTTTAGCTATAATAATTCATTTTTTTATGACAGCCGAAATTTGGGAACACTCTAGATAGAACAACAGGGGACTGATTAAACAAAATATTGTGAAATGCCATAGAGATATTAAAAGTGATGCTGCAAAAATACTTAATTTTATAAAACATGTTTATAATACGCTATTTTATGAAAATGGCAAACTATAACACAATATATGCAGGATGATTGCAATTGTGAAAAAATATATGTAAAGTCACAGAGGGGAAAAAAGACTGCAAAGTTATTTCCAAAATGTGAATAGTGCTGGGGCGCCTGGGTGGCTCAGTCAGTTAAGCTTCTGACTTTGGCTCAGGTCATGGTTTCAAGGTTCATGCCTGGAGCCTACTTCAGATTCGATGTATCCCTCTCTCTCTCTGCCCCTCCCCCAGCTCATGCTCTGTCTCTGTCTCTCTCTCTCAAAAATAAATAAACATTAAAAAACGTGAATAGTGGTTGTACTGGATAGTGGGATAATGAGTGTTTTTATTTTTCCTTAGTGTTTTTCTGTATTTTTTACATTTCCTATAATAAAGGCTACTTTTATCATTTAAAATATGTCATATATACTTATAAGTCTTCTGATCTCTTACTACACCATTTTTCTGAGGCTACCATAATCACCACACGTTGTGGCATCTCTAATGGGCCTTTCACATGCGATAATTTAATCAAAACCAGACATTCGTCTGTTTATGTAGCTCGCTATTTTCATCTTAAGTAACCCTGTAACCTAGGCTTGCGTAGTCTGACTCTGAGCCCAGGGTACAGGGGGTTGGGCTTCTGGAGCTGTGTGCCTGACAGCTGGACTGTAAACAAGCCACCCCTTTCCCGATCGCTGGGAGCCAAGGCCTGGGTGCATCAGGGTTATTTCAGGCTGGTCTCCTTTGCACTCTTTTCCTTCCAGTCTCTGCAGCTGTCCGGGAAACATGATGAGGGAAATTGCGGGGGGAGGGGAGGGCAGGGGGTACTAGGAAAGGTTCCTTGTCCCCAAACATGAGCCCCCGCACCACTCTCAAAGTCATAACTGCCATCATTCAACATGTACTCTCTTGTTTCTTAGGTCTTGCAGATATTTCTATTAAAACAGTTTCTTTCGTGAAAGTAGCTTTAGGACTTTCTCCCTGAAGCCTAATATGATGATGACTCTCACTTACTGAACAGCTATTATATGCCAAGCACTCTCCACATGTTACCTTAGTGTATGCTCACAGCAACTCTAAGAGGCAGATACTATTATCCCCATCTGACAGATTGGGACCCTGAAGGCTGGGACCCTGAAGGTTGGCAGGGTGAAGTAACTTGCCCAAGATCACAAAGGTAGGAAGGAGGACAGGGGAAATAAAACCCAAGGGTCTTAAGCTCTGAAGCCTGTGTGTTTTGAACCTTTCTTTCTCTAGTGAACTATAAATTACTGGCCAATTATAAAGAGGCCATAGTTTATACCATACTATAGATTTTTGTAGATTTGTTGTTTCATTTGGGTTCTGAATCACTTAACTTGTGGTTTTCTATAAATTCAAACTGAAAATGATCTGAAATAATTTATTTTAATGAAATCCATACATACTAAATATCCTGTCCAATGGCTGTATCCTGGGTCCTTATGAAGACAGGATCACCTTATTTTTCCATCCATCCAGGAAGACTCTCTCCTTCCATCTTTCCTTAAGAATATGCCTATGTGTGCCCAGTTTTGTCAGTAACTGAAATTCTGAGCGTCATCTTCTGCCCTGGGTACTCCCTCCACTCTTCCATAAAAGCTAAAGACCAACTTGGAAACCTATTTATGAACTTAGCAAAAGACTGATAGGTCTTGACTTTAGGGAAAGCAGGGTGGTTAAGCTCTAGATGAGACTTGAGATCAAAACCCAAATGGAAAATTGCCTCTTACAACTATCAACTTCTCTCCTAATTCTTGCCTGAACAGTGGAGAAGACCTCTCACATGGAAAGCCTGTCATATACACTTTCCCCTGAAAAGGCCAGACTGACAACTTCAAGCCGTATGTGTAACGAGAGGCCGTAAGTTGCTGAGAAGCAACTTAAGCCGGTGGCTAAGGGTATGGGCTTGGGACCAGATTGCCTTGGTCTAGTCCTGGCTGAGCAGCTTAGCTGTATGACTCTGGGGCAATTCAACCTCGCTCAGTTTATTCATCTGTACGACGGGGAAGATAATAATACCTCATGGGCCTATCTGAGGATTTAATGAGTTAATAGTTGTAAAGCAGAGCAGTGTTGGATACGTGACTAGTGCTACCTAGTGTCAATTGTCATCCACATCCTCAACACAGGACTGTAACAAAACTAAGAGATCATAACATTAACAGGGCCCACTATGTGCCACGTACTCTACCAGACCTTTTATAGAGATCGCCTGATTTGTCACCCTAGGATGTAAAGAATATGAATTCCATTTTATAGGGGAAGAAACTGGGGCTTACAAAGGCTAAATAACTGGCTCAAGGTCCCAGAGGAAGTGGTGGGATTAGGATTCATAGCCAGGGCTGCACTCTGCAACATGTACGAACCACATCGCCTCCCTCATAACGAGTTTTTAATAAAAGTCTGGTAATGATAATCAAGATTATGACAACCCAGACCTACTAGATCTATCAACTTACAGTTTCTATCAAATGCTTAATTTTCAGGCAGCTGACATGGGAGAAAAGAAAAAACAGCAGCCAAAACCATTTTAAAAAGACAAGCTGTGAGGTCAGTTTCTATTAATAAATTTTTGCTAAGGAAATGATTTTATAAAATATAAAAGTCTCTTTCACAAGGTACAGGACATAGCTCTCAAGGCAACATCCACCTTTGGAAAGAGGCTTTAAAATGTCACAGCTGCGCATGAAGCCACATGCCTTCTACTTCACAGTCGATGTGGACACAAAAGGAAGATTCCGCAAAGCAGTTACTATGCAGCGACAAGGAAGCCTGCTTGGGCATTCCAATGATGTATTTATTGCAGTAACACCATGTCACTGGACAGTCTAGGAACAAAATACTGCTCTGGGCACTTTGGGAGGGTTCCAAGTTATAATACCCAGGCAGGATTTTGATGGGATTTTGTAAACCTGAGGCAAACATCTCAGCACATAAGTTTCAAAGAAAATCTGTAGTATCTGTTGGACGGTGGATACATACATGGTCAGTCCAGCTTCCTCTATCCCTTCA